AAAGCGTCGCCTTAACTCCACTGCTGCACCCTTCGCTGGATAAAACAGGTCGTATTTTATTCTTTCTTCTGATTTTCTTTATTCACCGTGCTGATAAGGGTACCTTCGGGTACGGCCTCTAGTTAGGCCTTTTTTCCAACTTATTTGCCTCACATGATTAATCAATATGACACAACAAACATAACTGTAACTAATAATAACATAAACATGGAAAATTCACCTCCAAACTCAGAAAATCCTCACATGAGACATCTCAATGATGAACCCAACGTTCTCCAAATATTAAGTCACAAAATTACTTTATCCAATGACGTCGAAACTACCAGATCCTTGGTGGAAGATATCCAAGATATCCGTAACGACCCAAATGTGATTATGTCCGCTAGTGATCAAAAAGAACTAAACTTTCTCCTTGTAAAAGCCATTAATCAACTGCGTATGCAGGAAAACGAGATGGCCAATGCAAAAATAAACGAATTACAAACCTCTAACGAAAAGCTCGCTAAACAATTTGAAGAGATTAAAAACTTCTGCGACATACTTCAATCCACTAGTGGTTTCAAAGAACAAAGAAAAAGAAAATTGCGCCATAGACAAACGGATTCTGACTCCGATGAGGAGCCTTCCCTCAAAACCAGCAATCGATATAAACAATTAGAGAACCAAATAGACGACATGCATTTGGACAACGAAGATGAATCAGCCACTCAGCTCACTACCACCCCAAAAGACCAACCAAACAAAAGTGACACCATTCCCGCAAATAGAAAACCAAACTCCAGCCCCAAAACAAGCAGAATTGATAAAGTGCCAATTATTGTCGTAGATGACGTACCAAAAGCGGATGAATTCTTAAAAAACTTAAACAAGCAAACCGGAAAAGAGATAACTGGCACCTTAAAAGGACGCCGCCTTGAAATACAGCCTGCAGACTCTGACTCACATCGATTCATTCGCAAAATAGTCGAAGAAACAAAGCTTAAAGCCCACACCTACTTATTGCCCGAAGATAAAGTTTTAAAAGTCATAATAAGAGGCTTACCCATCACCACAGATCCCCAAACCATCACTCAAGAACTTCTTGACAAAGGATTTAAGGTTAACTTTATTACACTATTAAGAAACAGAAAGAAAATAAACCAATGCCGCTTTCTTAGTACATATACCAAAATCAGAAGAAAATAAGGAAGTATTCAAAATCAAACGCATAGGTTATATGAACGTAACAATAGAATCATTACGCAAGAAACCTGGCCCTCCACAATGCTATAGATGCCAGGGATTTTTTCACAGTTTCCCTGCTCTGCACCAGAGACTGGGTATGCGTCCGTTGCGGAGGCAATCACAAACCTATAGAATGCACCCGTAGTCGCGACCAGCCAGCCATATGTTATCACTGCAAAGGTCCTCACCCAGCCAACTTCTCAAATTGCCCGGCCAGACCAAAAAACAAACAAGTTCAGTTCCAACCCAGTCCTCCACCAGCAACCAATCCCTGGACTAACAGAAGACAAGACTTTCCTCCGCTGACATCAAACAGTAACGAAAATATCGCTCAAACCTCCATTCAAAACGAAAATTCTAACAGAAGAAACTACCAGCACCGCAGAATCCTCCCTGTCAGACCTCTTTGACTTCTCTTCGCTAAAAACAATCTGGACAATAGTGATACAAGGACTCAAAAACATTAAAAAAGAAATCACCTCTTGATAAAATAATCGCAGTAGTCGAAATCATTGAAAAAATAGGAAATCATCTTTAATGCTAATAAATTCAAGAACAGAATGCAACATAAAAACCCTCTCTTGGAACGCAAACGGTCTTTACCACAAAAAAGATGAATTATCCAACCTCATTATTGAAATTGAACCTGACGTAATACTCATACAAGAGACTCACCTTAAACCAGCACTCAAAGTACTTTATGCTAATTATAACACCTACCGTACGGATCGTGAGACAGGAAGAGGCGGTGGCATCATCACATTTGTTAAAAGGAGCATAAAACACGCTCCCAAATTCCTAAATCCCAGCACCGCTTTCGAAAGTAACACAATAGAACACAAAATATTCAAAATTTCTAATATAGACATCCCACTAAATAGTAATTCCAGCACACAAGAACTGATTCACCTCCTTTAATCTAATACTTCTAACATTGTTGGAGGGGATTTGAACGCCAAACACCCCTGCTGGAACCGGAGACTTGCAAACAGGTAAGGAAATGACATATTTAACCTCATTCGATCACATAATTATAGCATTTATGCCCCAGACGAGCCCACCCATTACGGGTACAATAGCGCCACCACCCCAATTGACTTCTTCTTCATCTCAAATAACATTACTAACAGATGCAATATCTCTGTAATTTCAGCCCTGTCTTCCGACCACAACCCCATTGTATTTGAAAAATCCCATTAATAAATACCTCCCCTCACTTGACAGACAGAAGTATAGGAGTTACAAATTGGATCAAATACTCTGAAATTCTGAATAACTCCATACAAGGTAACCCATGCATCAACAACAACAGAAGATTTAGAACACGAAGTCTCAAAATTTACCAATAGCATCAATTCTGCTTTAAAGGAAGCCACCAATACTTTTTATGTGAACAAGCCTTTCCTTTCCCTGCCTGCCGATATAAGAAATAGGATTAAAGAGAAAAACCGGATCCGTAAAAGATGGCAAACCACCAGGGATCCACAACTCAAAACGAACTAAACTCTATGCCAAAAGAAATCAACAGAAGAATCAAGAACTTCAAAAACCAAAAATGGACCAATTTCCTAAATAACCTAGCTACAGAGGACAATTCCCTATTTATGTATGGCATCTAGGCCTTATTTACAAACTAATCACTCTTAATTTTCCAGATCATTTTATTCGCTTAATAGCCTCTTTTCTCAGCAACAGAACATTCAGAATCAAAATCGGTACTGCTTATTCTACCACCAGAGTAATAAATGCTGGTGTCCCGCAGGGGTCGGCACTTTCGCCGTACCTTTTTAATATTTATACACAAGACATCCCTAAAGACCCTTCTGTTCATCTTGCACTCTTTGGCCGATGACACCGCCTATACTTACTAAAGCCTGCACAGTTATCGCCGTAAGAAACCAACTCCAAAGCTTATCTCATAAAACTGGAAAATGGCTTACCCTTTGGAGGATTAAATTAACACTGATAAAACTAAGGCAATAATTTTTTCCGTAAAGGAAACATGAAATACTATCTCCTCCACCCCTGAAATATTTGAACGAAGAAATAGACTGGATTAATGAAACCAAATACCTAGGAGTCACCCTTGACCAAAAACTTACCTTCAGAACCCATTTCCGATCCATAGTACAAAAATTTAAAATCACCACAGCTACTATGCGACCTCTTCTTGGTAGAAAAAGCAACTTATTTACTACAAACAAATTAATTCTATATCGCTCCATACTGCGGCCAGCTCTTCTTTATGCAGCACCGATCTGGGGACATGCAGCTAAAACCAATATTAAACAATTACAAATTCTACAAAATAAAATTCTACGAGAAATTATCAATGCTCCTTGATATATTCCCAACATCTACATTCACAGAGACCTTCGAATAGAACTTATTCAAGAGTATATTAAACGATTAGCGGTCAACTTCTTTTATTCAGTACGAACCCACAGTAATAGCCTTATTAGCACTCTCAGACACTCCCCGCGTCTCAGAGAAAAACATCGTTACCCTTGTGACGTCCTTCCCACATAAGAATTACAACCTTAATTGACGTATTTACGCCAAACTCACTCTGCGGTTTTACCACCCGCGGCTACATCTTATAACAACACTGAACTTGACACCCCCCCTTTTTTCGCCGCCGCTAGTGCGGCGAAAAAAGGGGGGGTGTCTTTCATCCGCCTCCCACACTCCTTTTACCCTTCTCTTTTTCCTCCCACCCGATCTTTATCAGAAGTCGAGTAAAAAGATGTTTCTACATCTTGACACTCGAGAATAAAATACGATCTGTGCGTGTGTATAATGTCGTATTCCTCAATACCAGTCAGAATAGCCGTTAGGCTCGGTGCTTCGGTAGAAAGTCCGTTAGGTAGTGGAAATTAAGCTCCTAGAGGAGCCTTAGCGAAAATGAAACTGAATTTTAGCGCTTTGTCTTTGGCAACACTATGCATCAAGCGACTGAGTTTATTTGTGTTTATACCTTTGTGAATACAAATAAATGATGCTGTGCTATGAGATTAGCGCCGATCACTTTATATTCTTTACAAATACTACTCTGTGTTTCAGGTGCAATTATGGTTTTCAATATTTTAATTTTAGGCATTCATTTTTTTTTGTTTTTCGTATTTCTAGTAAGAGTTTGTGATGCATTTTTATACCTACCATTTTTTTGTAAATAGGTTTTTTTATATGTCTCTAATTTTTCAGCACCAAATGTGTTCATAGTTGATGAAGAAGGTAGAACTGTCTCCGACATGATAGGCCCTCTTGATGAAGGTTCGCGTCTTTCACTGTTTTGTGAAACGAGTGGAGGTAAGTTTCGACTCTTGTTATAATGTGTTTTTGAAATTAATATAGAATATCATTTTTAAACTTTATGTGTTGGAGAAGTTATTTGAATATGTATATAATTCTTCAGTTTACTCAAGTAAGGAATTACGTAACTAACAAACAGCATAGCACATAGCATACAACCATACTAAATACCTTATTAAATGTAATGATAATGCCAATTAATTTAGCATGATCAGTTTGATTGTTATTTTTCATTTTTACATTAAAGGCGAGTAAGTATGTTAAAAATTTAAGTATATTTGCACTTAAACTGTAAATCCAAGGCTAGGCTTTAATATGATAATGAAATCTGAATCATCCAGGTAGGTATCACTGGAGTTCAAATGATACGTAATAATTTAATTCAATTTGTATGTGATCTTTAATATATTAATAAAATTTTGTGATATAATCCATTTGGATATCCACAGGATTAAATGATATAATCAGATGTATCTTTTTCATATATCATAAATTGGCTTCAAATTTTATCCTTTAGGTTTTGGGGTCTATGTAACTGCTAAACACCCATTTGTAAAAATAAAGTCTTTTAATAAATATAAATATGTACATAGCGTTAGAATAACATTAATTTCAGCAATGAATAAAGTGTGTGCACGAACTTGTAAAATACAGAAGGGATGAGTTCTTTTTTGCAATTGAGCAGAGATAAGATTCTTATCGTGCATGCGCGAGGTTGACTATCACAATCGGTGGTGATCTGGGCAGGCACACCGAATCTTGAAATATATAACCAGCGTTAAAAGCAATGGCGGCGGTCTCTGCCCCTGTATCTTTCTATGGATATGCTTCGGGCCAGTAAGTATACCTGTCGATGCATGTCAAATAGTAAGACATTCTTTGAGATGAAGAAAGAGGTCCAATCAAATCTATATTGATATGAGAAAAAATGCTCATCTGGAACTATAAAAGTAGTTAAAAGAGAGTGTACATAATGAGACACTTTAGCCTTTCCAGGCCAAACAAATCGGTCACTAATTAACTTCAGTGTTGTTTTAGGTCTAGGATGGGAAAGATTATGATTATGCGGAGTTGGAAAGAAAAGTGTTCTCTATGACTGTCTGGAACAAAAGGATGGATTTTTACCATGTGAAATGTCGTAATACAGTTCTACAGAACTATCAGGCATTTTTAACTTCTTTAATTGCAGAACTAGATTTTCTTTATCCAAAAAGGATTGGAGTGCAGTGTCACTGTTGTGCTTGCAACATAGATTCATAGTTAATAGGAATGACATTAGCAACCATTTCGATGCAAGAAAGAGCATCAGCTGGTCCATTTTCTGCACCACTCATGTGTTCAATATCAGTAGTGAACTGACCTGTGAAATAAAGTTGATTAATTGAGGTGAGAGCTTGTCATACTTTTGGAAAAGTGCTTTTGTGACTGGCTTATGGTCTGTAAATACTGTAAAGTTCATACTTTCAAGCAGATATCTGAAGTATTTAATAGTGGCAAATATTGTGAACAGCTCTCTGTCATACGTACTGTAGTTTTGTTCAATTTTCTGGAGAAAAATCCTAATGGTTCCTATATTTGTGTATTAAGCTGTTAGATGCAAGTGCCTATGGCTTTTTCTGATGCATCGCACATGAGAGCAATTTTCTTTTTTTGGGTCTGGATGGACTAAATTTGTAGCCTGTGTCAGAAGCTATTTACATAACTCGAAGGCTGTTTCAGTGTCTGTTGACAGTGTCTGTTTTGTCATTTTTCTTACAACTTCCCAACATACCATTTAAAGGAAGTTGAACTTCAGCAGCATGATTTAAAATTTCCTATAGAAGTTAAGAATTCCCAAAAAAACGTTCGAGTTCATTAACAGTTTTCGGTAACTTTAATTTTTTCTGAGAAAGGAATGATTCCATTTTAATGGATAATGTGACCTACAAATTTTACATGTTCTTCAGCAAATGTGCATTTCGGAAGACTGACGTCAAATATGACTTTTTAATCTCTTAAAAACTTCTTTGATTTGAAGTATATGTTCATCGAGGGATGATGAAGTAATCAAAATATCATCTATACAGTCAAAAGTCTTTAATCCCGTAACACCTTTACGCATATCAACAAAAACATTACACCACAATGCCACAATTGCCAACGTTTTAATCACTCATCAGACAATTGTTTCTTCCTACCTAGGTGTGTTAAATGCGCACAACAACATAAAACAACAGACTGCCCTACACAAGGTAAATTAGATAACCCCACATGCGCAAATTGCCGCAAAAATCATCCAGCTTCATACCGCGGTTGCGAGAAATTCCCCAAAAACAGAAATACAAATAATTCACCCAATTACACTTTTACTCCAAGCAATAGCACCCCAAATATCACACAAGGCAGAACATACGCACAGGTTACTTCCAACAATACACAAGACACTAGAAATCAGACTACCAACACTACATCTAACGCGAACATTTTCACCGACATTTTCTCTACACTAAAAGAACTCAATAATATTTTCGGCCAATAACATATTTAAATCTTTTCTACTACTCTCAAAAATAACTTACACCAATTAAAAGCAGCAGATACACCCATGGAGAAACTATTAATTCTATTTAATATATGCGAGGAATCCAACATCTTTAACTAAATAAATAATTTAAAAAAAAAAAAAAAAACTTTTAAAATATACTCGTATCTTATATTCTGAAAACATAATACACCGCTTGCATGAGACCCCTCAGCTCTATTTCCAAAAATTCCAACTTTCCCCGCTATTGGACAATTCAAATCACATGATCTGAAGGATTTTCAAGACTCTCCGCCATCGCCCGCGCCTCTATACCTTAGCGCGCGACTTTCAACCTAGGAGTTAGCCTCCGAATACTTCTCCCCAAGTTCAGGTATCATCAAATCATCTTTCAACTGGACTGTATGTCTCCACATTTATGGAATCATCATCACTCTGCCGAACACCACTTAAGCCCATAACGTTCGAAAAGTGACGCAACTTCAATCGGGATAGGACTCTTCCGTCCAGGCGCCCGTTGAAAGGAACCTGCCGGTTCAAGGATGATAATACCTTTACGCATGTGCATTTAATGTATAACGGACGGTATAAGCTAAGCTAAAATTGTCTAATTATCTATTTCAGTTAATGTTGCAGATTGCTTTGTTCCTTAATCTTCTAATTGGATCCGGCTTGTTATTTTTTGCAGACTGTTAGAGCAATTTTATAAAAGTAAGCTTGAACTTTCGATTATGTCAAAAAGAATTTCCGCTTCTGGAGCTGCCAAAGGATCTACAAAGCGAAAGCATGTTTCGATGTCCATCAAACAAAAAGTGGAATTGCTGCAAAAATGGATAAAAGCATATCCTTTGTTTCTCTACCATTCCGAATCGTTTATCAACTTCAACTGCTCTGGGGGAGGGTCGCGAATCCACAATGAACTGGAAGTTGATCTGTCAGCACTATCCTCATTTTCAGGGCAGTTGTTTTTATTTTATTCTGTTTACAATTCCTTACTAAATGCAGTGTTTCATCTCGATGTACTCCGATATGATTTAAATAAATTTCCTCGTCATCATAAATATCATGAATACGCATAAAATAGTTTTCTGGTTTCAATTTTCTAATTTCGACTATGCATAATGTATATTTTACGCATGTGCACGTTGAAAGAAATGTTTAATAAAGTAAACAAATAAATATTAAGCTTTTTTTTTTGGGTAAATTTTGATACCCTTTAGATCACAATTGCTCTTTATTTCATAAATTACGGTTTCATATTTTTAATTGTATAATTTCTGCATGCCATCCTACCAGATTTAAACTGAGGATCTATAATCCGGAAAAATCAATAATCCGGAATCGCCGAAGTCCCGTCAAGTTCGGATTAAAGACTTTTGACTGTATATACAAAACAGAAATTTAAATCTGACAGAATTTGATCCAGTAAACTTTGCATGGTTTGTGTAGCATTACGTAAACCAAATGTCATGTAGTTAAACTCGATTAATCCGAAAGGAGTAACTATTTTTGGTATGTCCTCTTTATTCATTTATACCTGGTGATATGCCTTCTTGAGGTCTAATGTTGAAAAAACAGTTTTATTGCTCAAACTTGATGTAAAATCATGCAGCTAATCATTTGGATAATTATCTGGAATAGTGATTGAATTTAATTTATGGTAGTTCCTGCAAGGCCGCCAAGACCATCCCTTTTTTTTAACCCATGTGCAGAGGACTACTCCAGCAGCTATTAGAAGGGCTACAAATGCCTTTTTGTGCAAAATAAGTGAATTTTGCTTTTGTGGCAGCCAATTTATTGGGCACTAGGTGCCTAGCCTTAGCTGCTATTGAATAACCTTTAGTTTTGATTACGTGTGTGATTCCAAGAGTATTCTTATTCAAAGACTGTTTCAAAACATCTTGAAACAGAGAATCATATTTTTTAAATAGATCTTTAAATACATGTAATGGTTGTAAAATTGTAGTTGTGGGTACAGTATCCATGAATATCTTGCCATCTGACGTAACGTTAGTCATGCTGTCAAGTAATATTTTTGATTTCAAATTTAAAGTAATGCCATAATTACTTATAAAGCTTGTGCCCAAATTTGGTCGCAAAAACCATAGCAATACTAAAAGTCCACGGAAAATTTCGGCATAGACCTATGTATAAACATTTTCTATATACATCAATTTGGGTACCATTTGCTGCAATTAAATTCAGCCATGATCATCATTTACTCTTAGCACAGTTTTATATGCATATGGTAACTCATTGGAAATAATGCTGTTTTGGGGGAAATACCTTTGATATAACAAATTTTTGAGTGAAAAATATTGTCAGTAAAAATTACTTCTTAGGACTGGGTTGGCAGTCTCTTTTAAACAGATTGCCGAAAAATCAATATATAATGTAAACTGGCAAACATTACCAACATATCAAAAGGAAACACACTTTAGCAATTTAAAATACAACTTCTAATTCTTAAGTAAGG